TTGATGTCGAACATCATAAGACTCGAATTTCGAATCTTCTTGTATAGAGCATCACGAAGCCAATCATCAGGAGGTACGTCATCCGGCATCATGTTTGATACCATCTCCATCCATTTCTCGTAGAACACTTCTAGGTTCGAGTCACCGAGATACTTCATCGATACGATGTGTTCCATGGTGAAGGATGTTTCTCGTTGACCTGGGGTTCTGAAGTGCTCCAGAATCATAGCCAAGATTTCCCGTCCCATGACATAGGTTCCTCTTCGGCTATGACTTTGTGTTCTCAATCTCAATTTGATCGCTACATGACGAGCAACATCACCGGCTTGGGCTATCACGTTTGACAATGCAATTGACAACTTGGCGTCGATGGACTGATACCGTTGCCCCCCACTGTCATTCAACAGCTCGATGTCAGGATTTGGTCGAATAGCCGGCTGTAGCCATGCTTCCCATGCGGCTTTATCCCCGTCATTTGCCGAAAGAACAACACTCTTGATGAGATCTGATTGCCAAACCCCAAGATTCTGTTGCTTTGGCCATGGGCTAACATAGACTTTGTCAGCCTCTCGTCTTGACATTCTCGGTACTTCTTCTGCAGTGTAAGCCGCTGTGGAGACATCATCTGCTGAATCGCGTTGTGATCCTCGAACTGAAGGCAAACCTGGAGGTTCAGGAGGTGGTCCTGGGCCGTTAGGCCCGAAAGGGTCCGGAGGTCCATCAGGGTCAGGCGGACCGCCCCATCCACTCGGTGGCTTGTAATAGTCCCTCTCAGTTCCGCCAGCGATCTTGTTGTCAACCTCTTTCAGCAGATCAGCGATTCTTTTGCTTGATTGAGAATGCTGTTGTTGTTGAGGAGGTACAGCATGCCCACGATAGGAATGAGCCATATTTGTCTCATAAGTCAACTCCTTGTCGATCTGCGAAACCCAAGATTTCAGAATAGCGTTTTCACAGTTAGCCTCACTCACGTCATTCTCCAGTTTGTCGATGACTAGTCTTGATGCGAGATCGGAGTTGGGAATGCCTGCCGAATAGGGAAGTGTGTCAGGACTGATCCTAGCCATAGATGTTTCAGAATCCTTGAGACTTTTTCTCAGTTCATCTAAGTGACGTTTCATGTCAACAATCTCAGAATTCTTGATGCCAATCTTTTCATCCCTATCCTGGATTTCCCCCATGAACATGCATGATCTCTCATATTGTTGAACACCACTAGCCAATTTCATTTTTCGCTCACTCTCTAGTTCAGATCTTAGAGTTCGGACCTCAGCATTGGTGAGGGACGACGTCCCTACATCCGCAACTTCAGCCAATCTTTCTTTCAATAACATGTTTTCTTGTAAACATTCATGAACTTCATGATCTAGATCCTGAACCCTAATTTGAGCAATTTTGGCTTGATTACGTAGATCTTCAACAAGCATCTCATCGGGGCCACGACCGTCGGTCGTAGTACCCTGAGTCAACGATCTCCGCAACTTCGTGTTCTGCAACTTGATCTCATCCTTTAACTCGCAGTTCATCTCCTGCTCATTGGTGTAGAGCTCTTCATAATGCTCGGCCCTCGCGATCGAATTCACACTGGCCTGTGATTCAAGCCTCAGGTGTGATATCGCTTCGGCCTCTTGGTTCCTGTATGATGCAATTCTTTTGACGGTATCATGTTCGGTGTTTCGATGCTTCAGATCACTTTCTAATTTGGCCTGATTTGCCTCGAAAACCTTCTTCCTAGATTCTCTAGTGATCTCGTCAATACTGCTTTCATACAGCTCGGCCTGTTTACGAGACTGAACTAAAGCTTCACTCAATAGTTGATTCCGTTCAGATAGTTCATGAACTGCAATCGACTGTTGTTGGCTAATCACTTCAAGTTGATTGCTAGAGAAGGACGCCATTTCGGATCGATTACGATATTCCATGATTGAGTTCTGGAAATCTGTTTGCATTTCCTGACCTTCATTGTATAGTCGATTGGCAATATCGGTGGTTAAGACATTAGTTTGATGAAGTTGTTGAAGTCTTGCCTCCGTATTACCCAATAGTCCTTGAAGGTGATGTACTTCATCCTTGTACTCCTCCTGGATCTCCATACCACGTTGGTGGATCCGTCGTGCACCATGTTCCATTAGGGCACCTCGGCGCTCAAGGTCTTGGATGCGTATTGTTGCACCTTCATCTTCCTGAGATGCTACCATTAATTCTGCTTGATATTCTGCAACCTCATTCGCGGAACGTGACAATCTATGATTGAGTGCACTGACTTCATCAAATACATTCTGGTTGTGTTCCTGAAGATACTCGGTGAATCTAATCTCGATGTCATGAATCAGTTGATCTCTAGATGCGGCGTATGCTTCCATTTGGTTCAACTGACTACGTAGGGATTGACATTGTGCCCGTAGTTCTTCTATCATGGCAATAGGTTCACTAGCCACAGAAGTATCCGTTGATCTCCTCTTAACACGACTATCCCCGGTCCTCTCACCAACTCGGTCGGTCACGGCCCTGGTGGATCTGTCCCTAGGAGTAGTTCGTCCTCGAGATGGTCGATGCCCTTGGCGGGCAACATCACTCCGAGGACTGTTTCGAGAAGATCTTGGTGTACTTTGGGTGGATATCCTTCGTCTGTTTGTCGTTACTTGCCATCCGGACTGTGTAGTTCGGGTAGAGCGTATCCCACCACTGTCTGCCGTGTCACCAGGGGAAGACTGATTGACCTCCTCGACCGGCATGGCAGTGTTCTCGTTGAAGGTAAACTGCGTGGTGCGCGAATCTCCGCTACCGCCTTGCATCTTTGCGATGATGAGCTGATTGGTCCTTTGCGTCCTCAATCAATTGCTCAGACGGCCCGGCTACCAGCACGCAGGTACCACTCTCCCGACGGGAGAAGTGAGCCCTACGGCTGATAACCTGTGAACAAATGGATCCTTGTTCTGGATATCGTTGATTGGTGGTACCTTAGTGCTGGGGACTGCCGAACCCTAGCAAAGCATAGCGAGCATCACGCGATCGTTTTCCTTTCAGCGGGCGCTTGAGCCACAATGGGCGTTTGTAATGTAGTGATATGTGCATATGAGACATGCACCTAGCGCCTAGTTCCCTTTGACAATCACCAACAAAAACCATAGTTATTGGAGTTATAAACCAACATGGCAATGTCATCACCAGAGGGTATCCACCAAGTGACGGTGCTCCGCGCGATCCGTCAGCGACACGGAGCGCGGAACGGTGGAGCTACTGGACCTCGCCGATCCGGGGGTCCAGTGGTTGGGCCAACGAGCAAAAGGGGGTAGAAATGGGGATAGCCTCAATAGCTGGATGGCTTATCATGGAAAATTCCATTTTTAGAACAAGAAATGTTATGGAACAAAAATCCCATCAAAAATGATGGCTTATCATTGTTCATCTCCATGGAAAATTCCATTTTTAGATTTTTGAGATGAAAAAACTATTTTTGCCATGACAAGCGTTTGGCTCAGTTTTCTCTCGCGATTCATTTCGGGATTTATTGGGCATCAACAAGTGCGGTCATTTATGCAGCTAGACAAGCTAGTATGAACCTAATCAACCATGAAGGTGTTCAGGATGGGAATTTCATGCGATTGTGCAACCAGACTGACTGTTTCAGAGAATTGCGTGGCTGCTTCTGAGTTCCATGGTTGTGACTGTGGAAAATCAACCTGCAGCAACGAGCGCCAATATCCGCAAACGAGCGCGAACTTAAAAGGTGTGCTTTTTTAAGAATTCACACGTTAGTGCAAAAACCTGATGAAGATTCTCTCCTGGGAACACTTTCAGGACATAAACTGCACAACCACAGGGCAGTGGTGACAATCTTGACGAAACCCAGGAAATGTGAGTGCCCGTGCTAGTCTATGCACGCCTATGTCCATGACTGAGATGGCTGGGGTTTGAAGGGTTGGTTACATCACTTTTTTTTGGCGGCTGTAGAGTTACCATATTTTTTAGCCATTTGTAGACGGGATAGGCAACGAAGCGGGGACTTATAAGCCACTTATGATCATGGCAGTTGAGAAACCCAAAAAATCGTTCAACGATTTTCCCAGTTCGAAATTCTGAAACCTCCACTGAAATAGGGGATTTCCAATTGATATGATTGATTACTGGAGGGTGACAACCCTGGGGTGAGTTCAAGTCCTCGATTTGTGGTTTATACCATCTATAAATGGATGAACTAACCATGCTTATCAACTACTTACGATTGGTTCGATGATCCTGCACTTTACCATCCTCACCCAATTCATATGGAATAGTGACTTAATGAGAATTCATGGGGATTTAATGCGGACTGTCCTTTTAGATCTTTTAGGAAGCATCGGACCAGGGTCCGTTTGGTGAATTTATGATCTACCTATTGACCTATTGGTTGTTAAATTGACAGAACTTTCTATTAATTAACCAAGCAGTAGAAAAAAGGATTTCTATAGTACCATCCCCTCCACCAAATCTTTTTGGAGTGGACATTCAAGATTGAGAATTGATGCTGGCTGGTGGTTTCAACCCCTCTGAAAAATATGAAAGTCAGTTGGGATGATTATTCCCAATGCATGGAAAAATAAAAAAAATGTTCCAAACCACCAACCAGAATGGGGATTAATGGGATGATGAATGGTGGTGCACCAGTTCTTTTTTGTGGCTGAGTTGGTGAACATCACTCCAACAATGGGTCTGGGGCAGATGTTCCACCGTACGTACAGTGGTGAACTCTTGACCTTGTCTTGAAGGTGCCGGCAGAGACCGACCAAGGCGTCGCATCCAAAATCCTGAATCATACACTTTGAATATCGACTTGTCTGAACCTTTTTGGGTGACATGGAGGTCCACTTGATACAAGGTATTTATAAATTTTGATGGTCTTAGATGGTTAAACTAGTTTCAATTTACATAAATCATTATCAACTATAACACCAATTTCATTGTTCATCCCCAATTTCACCAAACATGGGTTGCAAATTACAATCTCCCCCCCGGTCCCATCATATCCGTTGAGATTCCCTTCGTCCAAGCAGCGGGGTGAAGCATTCCATTCGAGGTGATGGTAGCACTTGGCGGCTATCGATGGGACCCACAGGACCCACAGCTGCGAGAAATCGTGGTTCCAAAAGAACTGCATGCATGGAAGATTTGTCGGGATCATCGAAGCCTGGCTGAAAATTTTCAACCCTGAACTCAGGGGTCCTGGGTTAATCTGGGTTAATCTGGGTTATTGGGTTTCGGGGTTGGGTCCTGGCAACAACAAAATGGACACATTTAACATTGGTTTCATGGGGATAAGATATGATGAAATTAGTATGGAACATGGCAATTTAATCCCGGTTGCTTAAGAGCAGGGTTGACATGTCATGAATGATTCTGATCACCAATTTGAATTGAATAATTGGAATCCCGAACTAGTCATCAACGAAAAAAAAAATTGAACACTACTCAGGTGGAAGGGGGTGGGCTGGTAGTCAAAATTACACCAAGTCTTTGGGAATGAAATCAGCTCCTGCCGAGCCCAAGCATACTGTCAGATTCGGATTGGGTTGCTGAGTAACCTGAATCAAAGATGTTGTGGTGCATTACCCAAGATATCAGAACCAAGTCTGGTGGCCGGTTGAGGCCTTTCATTGTTTTCCACCGGAAGAGGACGAAAACAAAACATGAACACATGGTCTACCCTCTGGTAATTTAACAGCTTGCTATTGAGCATTGCCATAGAAATAGTCGACTTACCCATTAAAAAATGTGATTTTCCATGATTTTCCATGATTTTCCATGACTTTCCATAGGTTTTTTGTAGGTTTAGAGGGTCACATTTTTCCACCAAGAAACGGATGCATAAGGTCAGCCATTCGCCGGTGTTGGGTGAGCTAGGCTTGTGCACAAAGCCTTGGGAATCGCACAGTGATTTGGGGTGTCGAAGGTAACAATCCAGTTGCGTATTGGGTGTCAAATTTGGCCCCTAATTAATTGGGAATTTCAATGAATTTCATGATATCACCGGAAAACACGTACACCTCTCAAAAAATCATAAAAAAACATGGTACTCTTGCTCTCAAACATGCTAGAACTCTACAATCAACTTGCTACTTTGGTACTCACCATTCACCCTAGGCGGCCAGCATGATGCGAGAAAAACGTAGATATACAGTATATGATATACGTAGATACCAACTTCTATTTAAATTTTACACCATCAGAACCATTCCACACCATCCCACACCATCCCTTTAAGAAGCCGAGTCACAAGGATGTCCGTGCCGCTTGTGGGGGCAAATCACAGCCGACAAGCCGTTCAGGTGGACCATATGACCTCAGGCGTTTGAAGATTTTTGAAACCTCGCCAGGTTGCTGTTTGGGTTTATGTTTTAACCACATCTGCACCAAGATCTGCACCCACAGCACCCACAATAAGTTTCATAAGGGCCTACTGACCAATGATATCAGTCTGGCGGAAGAAGAGTAATTCACGGAACCTGACAATAGCTGTTAAATAAGGCCATTTGGGGATGAAGAATTCTCCTTCCTAAGCATCATTGCAGTGACGTCAAATCCTGGGTCATTGTAATTCATCCAGGTGAAGTCCCAATGAAACAGGACATCTTGAAGCCAAGGCAGGAGAATTTGGGACATCATCCGTTCCATAACCCATAGGATCCATGTATGGTATATGCTAACATTGGGGGTATATTGATGGTAAATGTTACCATATATAGCATACATGGATCCTATGGGTAATGCATTCTCTTCTCTATCTTTGCGGAACAGAACCACAAGAACAAACAATTCCATTTGGTATGGTGTGTAGCCCCCGAATGGAAGACTTGGACATATTTTGGATGGTATTCCAATGTATCCCACAAATAGAAGTCTCAGGTAGCATGGATCCTAACTGGAATGATTCAAGTGGGTCAATCCTTCCATCTCCACTTTTTCTATCCGTCAACTGTGATCATCACTCATCAATTTGGCAGAAGCAACATCTTGAATTCATTAGCTAATTCTGGGTACCCCAAACTTGAGATTGCTATTTTCCCCCAAAATCCTTAAAAAGAAACTAAACCATTTGCTGGTGATGAACTCTCTCATCATCACAGCCCCGGGCCCCACAAATCTCCGAGAGACTACTCTGCAAGCCTCCCAGGACCACCCTGGTCCCCAGGCGCCACTCGGAATGAACTAACGCCACGTCCGAGAAAGCCACGCGGCACCTGGGTGGTTTCACTGGGCATCAGATGGCAGATGGCTTCACCAGCATAAATGAGGGGTTAACAACCCCCCAAAAAATGGGTTGGTTAACATGGTCGAACGATGCACTAGTGCTGGTTTCATCATAAAAATCATGGTGCTCCAGGACGCTGATCCAGGGTTGAACTAGCAACTTGGGAGATTTAAGCAACATAAAAAACATGTTAAGCAGCCAAGCATGGGGGTTTAACCAGGGGAAAAAAACAACAGAAAGGATGATATCAGCCTTTAACCCTCTGGCAACCAAATATTGCTATCTAGGAAATCGGAATCTTTCAAGGAAAACTACAGGTAAATTCATGCGCATGAAGATAGATGGTATGCTCCATGGCCGGTAGCCGGTCCACCTTCAATCGCGCTGTCCAAGGGGTTGCAGGACAAAAAATGGAACAATGTCGACAACAAGGGGATATGCAGGGATTTAATCAATAGAAAGAACAGTCCAGGAAAGGAATCCAATCCCTTCTTCCTCACTTAATATGTTCCAATTTAGTTGTCCTTGTTTCTGTGGATTCTGAAGCGTTCCCAAGAATTATTGAGATGGTTTCACACGTAAACCAGCCATCATTCAGTACCCTCTGGTGCTTGAAAATTGCGGCCATTTCCCATCAGTAACCTGAGACGACCGCTTGGAATTCCTAACAAAACACACATACATTTCAGCAAAAATGTGAGATCATCCCTGTCTGTCCTCGATTGTCTAGAGTGGCGAGTTTCCCATCACAAATGGCCTCTCCATCACAAGTGGTTTTCACGGTTTCTCCATCCCAGATTCCAATTCAACCATCATGTTCCCCATCATAAATTGCAATTCTGGGGTATATACTCCGTTTTCAGACAAACCCGTTTCCGTGATTTACTGGTGAAATTCCATGCATGTCTGATAGTCAAACCATGTCAAACCGACACGTTTGATGGTCAAACGGTCAAACCACCATGTTTCCACTAGTAAAGCAATGCCATAAACCACTCATATTTTCATGATGATATATACCAGCCATAAACATAATAAACTTGGAGACGGTGGATCCTTTTGCTTTAACCACATTGGAATCATGAAGGATCTACAAACTACTGGCCATTTCACCCTTTTACAATCCAAACATAGAAAGTGGAGGAATACTATATGTGACTTCTTCGTGATACTTATCTTCATCCTATGTAAAAATATGTAAAAATTCTCATCCCACTCCATGACTCCAAGGATTAGATCTGAGGCCCAAACTCGCCGATGAAAACGCTCCTGGAATCATCCAGGACGGCCACGGTACAAGAGCTTCCCTCAACGCCTCCCAGGAGTTGTCCGCAAGAACTTGGGGAAAAAAAACAGTTCGAGCTTTAGAAAAAAGGTGGAGGTTTTAACCAACCAACATGGTAATATTGGATAATGTTAGTTAGAGCAATAGGATCCACCATCCCCAAATTTGTTCATGTTTTTTTCGGGGGGGGGCTGGTTTCTCAACCTATGACATTCCTTTACGAACAGTAATGCGAGAAATCACATGGGGATGATATAGTTACCAGATGTTACCACATGTTACCATCCATTTACATATGGTAATATATATTAGCTAATTATAGCTAATTAGCATTAATTAACCATGGTTTAGTCTTGGGTTTCCCACGTTACTTGTTTTGAATGACACTCTTCCAACATCGGATGCCTTTTTAAGCCGCGCCTTTCACCACTCCAGGGCACAGCGCGAAGGGCTGAAGGCCGCGTTGCAGGATCACGAGGTCGCCTCGGCATCTGTGCATCAATATTAAATAAATGGTATAAGCACACCACATACAATGTGAGGCCCCCAAGATAGCTAAGTTGGTTTATAACTCCAATAACTATGGTTTATGGTACTTATAACTATAGTTACTGGGGCTTATAAACCAACTTATAACTGGCGGGCCTCACATTGTATATATATATATAATATATATATATATGTAAATATGCGTGCGTATCTGGATGTGTGTCTCCATATACCTGCACATGATACCATATATTCTATGTATAAATAAATGGAAAAATCATGTATGATGATGCATGATGTATGATGGATACACGTGACAAGTGTATGTACAGGAGAAAAAAAACATACGCACGCCTTGCAGCTTGACTCAAGATGACTCAAAGATTTGGTTTGACATGTTTGAACCAAGAAGACATCAAGAACAAACCAACATAAATTGCCCAAATGGACATATCATGGAATATACCAAAGAAACAGGTGGGAAAGGCCCAAACACATTTAACAACAACACGACTAAACAATAAACACGTTTTCATATATGTGTTTAATATCAAGCTAAAATCCACCTGAAAAAACACACAAGTAAAGGCGCTATACATTAATCACATCATAAACAAATATATTGGGTAATTATTCCATATTTTCCCATATCGCCCCGTAATATTCCATAACTATCGCAAGTGCTCATATCATCCCATTAATTAATTTAGGTAATTGTATGGCCCGTATGGTTCTCCCATTCTTCCTCATTTTTGCGTAGGCATCCAATGATTATCCCATATTTGTCATACAATTACCATCTGGTTATTTGACCTAGCCATGGAAAATCACCCATTTTCAATAGGTAAATCATCATAAATCATCAAGCTAAATGGGTTGGTTTTCGTGACTATATGAAATCAGATCATCAAACGGCATCCCCAAAATTAAGAACATCGCATTTCCATGCATGTCCATTTATTTATGCGATAATTCTCCCATATTTGTCCCCCCCCAAAAAAAAAAACGATTGGCATCCCTGGCCTTTCTCTAGGCGCTCGGTGATGTGCAGTCGATCCGTGGGTTCCTGGGCCGGAACAGCCCCTTCACATGTGATTCGCCAATTGCATGCATGGTACTATCTGGTTATTTAACATAGCCACGGAAAATCACAATTTTTAAGAGGTAAACCATCTATAAATGGGGCGATTCCCATGGCTATGTTAAATAACCAGAGGGTAGTTTTCTGGTTGGTGGTGCCATACCCATCTTGACAAATATGAGTTCGTCAATGGGAAGGATGACATCCCATATATCCATATATGAAATGGACAATCAAACATGTTTGAAACCACCAACCAGTTTTCATGGTCGTTTTCATTTTGACCAACTTGAAACGAAACAGTTTCCAGCAAAAACAAGTCTGCAGCTGGGATGCTGAAACCAAATCTGCATCATCCCCAAGTTCATGACTTTCAGAGATAGGAAGCAGCCATGAAAGCCTCGGGCGGAAAACAAAACACCACACTGCACTGATTGAGACAATTTCAGCTCATCTTCGACAGCTTGCTGGGTTATTTTTCTCCTCCAGTTTTGGCCAACTTTAGTTGTCAGATGTTGTCAGGCTACCCCACACAGGATTACATATCAGAGAGCAAATCATACAATGATTCACTAATTTAGGAGTTCACTTTAATCTTCGGAACATGGTTTTGCATTATCATGGCTCCCTGAGTTCAGGTAAGTTAGACCGACATCAGTCTCCAGTTGGCACCTCGGCTTGCCGGATTTCAAAACCCACTTGGCATGGAGCAGATTCCCATATCTCCCGCCTGAAACACCATAAGAAAGAGAAAAAACATGGGCTGACTTCCTATAAGCCAGCCAGAAACCAACTCCAAATTGGAATGAGCTCCCCCAAATCATCCGGCATATGTATATATATATATAATGACCATGCAAGCTTGGTCGAAATTGGGCCATCATCTGCAGGGGATGTCTCATCCTGGATTCCCCAAAGAACTCATGGATTAACTGATGGGGAAATGTCCAATAGTTCAGCTATTCCAGATTGGTCCTTCGTATTTTTGATTATAACCTGCATCCCATGAAATAACCTCAGAAAATTGCAACAACCATTAACCGACCATCGTTTATCAATTATATACAATAATTATATCATATTATATCTCCATCTATGTTTGATGGTTAAAACATGTCAAAACCCATATTTCACGGTAAAATCCCACATTCATTGCTAAAATCCCTAAATTTCGTGGATCAAATCCAACTTTTATGGCTGAATCCATATTTTTAGATGTAAACATCCCACATTTTCATAAGCAAAAGTCCATGACATACCCTCTGGTAATCAAACATGGCTGGCGGGAAAATCCCAAAATTTGTTCGATGATTTTCCCATTCAAACACCATTTATTATAGTGGATGTTCCCTTATAAACGGAAGTTTCTAGCTGGGAAAATCATCTATACATGTGGGATTTTCTAAACAGCCGGGTTTGAGAACCAGAGGCTAAATTATCGCACCCCCAGTTGACCTCGCCATTTTCGTGGCTGGAAAATACCAAATTTGGAGAATTTTCCTGCTACAAACCTCCGTTTATAAGGGAAACTCCACTATGACATAAATGCTATGTGAATGAACGGATTTTCTCGCCATGTTCATATGACCTCACCATTTTCATTAAGGTATATCGGTCAAATCCCTGACACGTCCCCACCAGGGCCAGGGCCAAAAAAAACCACCGCACCATGCGGCTGCTCTCTGGGCTGTGGATCCTCCGCCAAGACCGAGGAAAGGCGAATCACAGTGGGAAACTCCTCCTCCACTCGCCTCGTGTGCCTCGGCAACTCGTGGGTTTCCAGGATGTTGATGATGGCTGGTATCCATGAATTACCCTCTGGTTATGTCAAAATAGCTATTGAACATGGGATTTTTATGGGATTTTCATGGGATTTTTATGGGATTTACCCTCTGGTAATGACTAACTTAGCTATGGTATCCATGAATTTTCCAACAAACACATGATCCATACGACAGGTGGCTCGGTGGCTCATCCCACCCACGAATCGAATTTCAGAAGAGCTGGATCCCGGCCTGGTAAACTTTCACGTTTAACTATTAAAAATCACATTTTTTAATGGCTAAATCCATTATAAATGGCAATTTTCAATAGCAAACTGTTAGTTTACCAGAGGGTATATCCCTGGTTATAAGTTAGTAGGGTTAATCCACTTGACAAGGGTGAACGGAAAACCTACTGGCGATAGAATGAGCCACCAGCCATGTTGACCATAGGGATGTTATCATCCAATAGCTAGTCATAGCTAGTCATGTTCAATGACCTGTTGGCTTTTTAGAGTCATCCCAAATGGGGGTTGAAGATTTTTCAGTGGCAATGGACAAGTCCTTGTAGGACCTACGGCCCTTCAGATAGGATGTGTTCTTCTTAGAGTGTTTGATCCCGTCCTAGACTTCAGTGCCCATTGAAATCATGGTGTGTTGGAAAAAAAACTAATCTATTGTGAACAAATGAATCCTTGTTCTGGATGTTATATTTCAAGTGGTACTTGTCTTACTGCTAGTTTCCGGACCCAGTAAACATGGCAGGCAGCAATCGCTCTCTTTTACACACGCAGGGGGTCTTGAGCCAAAGTGGCGTCCCATGCATGACTTGTTTGTATGTTGTCACTACGTTCCCTTTGACACCCCCCATGCCCGTGGTATTCTTCGAACCACGGACACGAGAGAGGGAACTTTGAATTAGATTCGTTCTGCTACTCGAATTACGCCTATGTACATAAAACTTGCCATTCGGCTCCCGCTTCCCCACATACCCGTCGGGAATAATGGTTCAGGGTTCGCCTACTCTTTGGCTGTCGATGCATCGGCGCTTCATCAAGCTGTACAACGCGAATTCTTGCTAGCTAACATCTACTTTTCTACGTAGGCTAAGCATACCACTCACCCGTCGGGAGAAATGGATTGCTTCGCCACCAAAGATTTACAATGCTAACTAACGAATTCACGTGCACAATGCAGAATCTCGTGCAGATTGGGAATATCAAAAGTCTTGAACCTAAGCGAATTAGTCTAATGCCTCGCTCAGAGTTCACTCAGTTGGTCTTTTCCTGATCATCTGTTCACAAAGACGATAAACATCTTGTAGCACAGTGATCATTTTGACGGATCGAAGTCATTGGTTTACTGCTCACGGCGGACTTTCTTCCATTGAGGTGCTGTTGGAGTTTTCTCCCATCCTGCCGCACGTTTCGGAGCAGCTTTCGGCGATGAAGGCTTTGCAGGTGGTGCCTTTGATGGTTCGTGGGATTTCGGCATAGTCTTGGCCTTTGGTGCGCTAGCCGATGAGGATGATGCTGAACCAGTTCCTTCAGGTTTCTGTGAAGGTTGTGCGGGTGGTTTGGCAAACTTGGAAGCCGCAGTATGTCCAACCGCTTTGAATACTTCACTCACCACCTCGTCGCCAAGGGTCGGAGCCATCTTCGTTTTCATTTCGGTCTTTCCCCTCTGCGCCTCAGCTTCAGCCAGTTGAATAGCATAAGCCATTTTGCTGACAAAGTTTTGAGGTAAAGGAATGCCACACTGTTGGGCGGCAAAGAGCGACTCTACTCTCTGTTCTTTCTCCCTCAGGCTCAGATATACTGAGAAAGCCGGGAGTTCGATGCAGTTGGGGAAGCCGTGGCTCCCGGAGCGAAAGAAGGTGTACGACTCGTGCTCTGGAAAGGTCCCTTTGAGCAGTCGTCGAAGGAAATTGCTGATGGTCACTCGCATCTCCTGTTTCCCTTGGGCATCAGCCTGCATTCGGTTCATTGGCATGAGGAAGCCTAATGACTCTGGAGTGTACCCGGCGCAGACCAGAAATTCCATCATCTTTTCATAGATCTCTAAAGTCTTGATGACAGGCATCATCATGTTTCTTGGTCGCACTGAGTATAATTTCTCTCCTTCTGACCATGAATTCCTCTTCCCTTTCTCCTGAAAGAGTTCGTCCAACTCCAGCTCCGTCGGTCGCTTGAGGTTGCCATCCTGGTCTTCTCCTGTGTAAGGACAGAAGTCGTCCAGGTCCAGCCGGACTCGCTTGGTTTCCGTCATCATCTCATAGTACTCCTCTGGAGTCAGGGTGACTCTCTGTTTGTAGTAGAGCCTGAACATTGTGATGACCTTGGACATGACAGCATTGTCATACAAGTGAGCCGCGGCCTCGGAGACATCATTGTTGATAAGTCCGTCTTCTGGCATACCCTTGCTGCCGCTCTCGAGGTTCTTAGTCCATGCTGGAAGTTTGGAAGAGGGTTCATCTTCAGGTTCGACGTCCATTTCATCGTCGTCTTCTTCAACGATTTCGTCGTCCTCCTGTTGAGCTTCCTCCTCCTGATCCATTTCCTCATCATCGCCTTCATTGTAATCGACCTCGTCAGGATTGAAGCCATAGTCGTTGGATTCGGATACGTTTTCTTGTGCTTGATGGACCGTATCCTTGAACAACGATTCTTCTTGTCGACGAACTTCTTCATCGATCTCTTTCTTCGTGGCCTCATCTTCATCGTCTTCGGGAGCTTGTAGCCGATATGGACGGATTCCACAACTTTCAAGTTCCGTCCAGCAAACTAGACACACTGCTAGCTTTGTCGGCGTCTCATTGAGACAGTGAGGACAATGGCGGCAACCTGATGTTTGCACCCTTTTGCGTTCGACTGTGTAGTCAATCAGCTTGATGCGGGCCAGGTATTGCTCTTGTCCACCAGGCTCGATGAGGTTGTTCTCGAATTGGTTGACGATGTTCATGGCATCCATGGCGGTTTCGTCAAACGGTTGGTCTTCGGCGTCGATGCACTGCCTTGCAACCCTCAAGATGGACTCCTTGGTGGCTACCGTTCTTGATTTGACCGTTCCAGACCTGACTACCTGGTCGTCGCCCGACGGGACGAACAACCGGAGCCATGTCTTATTGTTTTGGTCCTTAGGGTCCTGAATCCATCCTCCTTTGATTGCCGAGAACGGGATGATCTTCGGTGAAACGATCTGTCCCGAGTCAGTTAGTCGACCGCCATATTCCACCATCAAGGTCTCGGTCGGGATGAACAAGCATATGTAGTCACCCTTACGCGTATCAACGCTCTTCGTGATGGTCCATGATCTGTGATCCCATGGCACATACGGGTTGAAGAACGTGAACATCCGATGACCTTCTCCAAGACCTCCTGGAATTAATCCCTGCCTCCAAATGCTTCGAAGGTTGGTCTTCTTGGTGATGTGGAAACAAACCGGTAACGACAAAATGGTGTTGGGCGCGATTGGATGTGAAAGTAATGAGGACAGCAATGAGACGTCGTCCCTTGAAGATCCTTCTTTGTGCCCCGTAGGAGCACGGACCGCCACTGGGTAGAGCAGTAGACCTTCATCAGGAATGTTCGTGTTCGCATCGACTTTGTTGTCAATGCATGTCAGGCTGGTGCGCTCAATGTCCTTGTTGATACCAAATGCCAAGACCTGTTCACGAACACGACGTCCATACCGGGCACAATGGAACATGATCTTGAAGAGCAAAGTCATGCGGAAGTTTGCCTCATTGACATTCCATGCACTCTGATCATTTGCTCTTCCTTTTGGAGCAAGGAATACATGTGGCCAGCGGGCGTACTCGTGCCTCCAGATGGACTCACATTTGAGCACCTCCTCGATGGGCACCCAGCCGGCGTCATCACATGACAGACTCTGTTGCTCTGATACCTTCCCCACGTTGTGCCGCAGGATCCTGTTTAGTGATGTACTCACCTTGTCCTCGTAGGTATTGAGTCGGTTGCCAGTCTCGAAGCGGTAGTTGGCCGCATATTCTACACCGCCAAAGTAAAAGCAGTTGAAGAAATGGGCCCCTGTCGTCGGGATGATTTTCAAGAAACCATCTTGCGGCGCTTCGACTCTCTTGTAGAAGGGCTTCCTGATGTTGTTATCAGAGTAGTTTGCCATGAAGTCTGGCACAGACCATGAGTCACCTCCTCCTCTGACGATAGCGTCTCGGACCACTTCGTTGAGGTCAACAATGTTCTGTGGTCCTAGCTTTGTAACATCACGTCCTTCTATGCAGAATCTACCATACTCATCGAGGTCACCAACTTCAGACATAGTTCTGATGCTGTCGTACCATTGGTGTTCACTAAACCTCGATTTTGTAGGTTCATCCGTCTTCCCCGACCCATCAGTAGCACCTGAACCGTCCTTCTTGTGCTCAGGAGGCTCCATATCGACGTCATCAGATGTTGGACTATCAGCCTCGAGCGACGCTCGGACGGCCTTTAGCACCTTTCTGACTTCATCCCTCTTCTCATGTCCACATTCAAGATGGCCATGTTTGGTGCTACCACAATACAAGCACACGTTGACATCCTCAGAGACGGTGAAGAGTTTTCCCAACGCATCCAAAAGCTGTTGTTTCCCAGAATTCTCTGAGTCCCTGACCACATCGGTGGGGTCGTTCGCTGGCTCATCAGCTTCCTCCTCCCCAGGGTGAGCCGACGACTCGTCACCTGGCTTGGCATCGGCATCAGTGCCCATGCTGGCGTCACCCCCTGTGATGTTGTTCTTCCTGCGATAATGAGAGAATACCTGATCCTTCTCCCAGTCCGTAAGGCAGCAGAAATTGGCCAGCGAATCATATCCGGGGATTGCGTGGATGAGCTTCATGACCCTTTCGGCTTCTGCGGTTTGCAGTGTGCAGTCGAAGGATCCCCGTCTTTTGTCATTGATGGTGCTCGAGGTTCGGGAGGTCGATGTGAATTGAGCCAGTGCCTTTTCCAATCCATTGAGATATTCTGCTGGATCGA